CAAGGCAGGGACAGAGGGGAGTCAAGAGAGTGCCCGGCGCCATCCCTGCTGGTCCAGCGGTTGAGAGACTCCAAGCTTCCAATACAGGGGCTGGGGCTTCAGTCCCTGGCTGGGGAACTAGGACCTCACATGCTGTGTGGCTAAAATATAAAAGAAATAAATAAACGGGGGGGNGGGGGGGGGGGGGGTGTGGTGGTGGGAAGCAAATTTTTAAAAAATGAGCACTTGTGCTCACTCTGATGAGGTCAGAGGGCGCAGAGAGCCACCTTGAGATCAGGGGAGGTGGTTGGTGCTGCACCAGATCAGCAGGGAGCAGCGGTCAGGACCTCCTGCCTAACGTTTTGCCTCTGTTTTTATTCTTTACCCAGGTCCACTGGGCTCATCTGGGAGCTGTGTCTCCCCATTCCTCCCTGGAATACAGAGCTCTGAATTGGGTGGCTGGGCTGTTTGTCTTTTCTGGGGAAGAGGAGCCCTTTGACAGGATGGTGGCCGGATAGATTGGAGAAGGCAGGTTTGCCATGCCAAGGAGCTCTGCCCCGCAATGCTCTGAAGATCCTGCCTGCTTTTCTGTGTCCCTCGGCGGCCTTCTCGGTGACTCCCAGAGGACACAGGCTATCTGCAGGGCACAGCATCACTGGTTGTGACGGAAGCCTCTCTAGGAGCTTGACACGGTTCCTGTTCTTATCCCAGAGTGTTATAGCTGGGCAGGGGCTGAGGGGTCATATTGACCAGGGGCCTCCAACCAGGCCTGGACTGAGTCTGGACCAAGTGTCCCAGCAGCTGCCTGAGAAGCCTTCCAGGGTCACAGAGGAAGCCTGGCCGTGCAGCTTGAGTCCGTGTCTCCCCACCAGGGCAGGTGTGATGCCCGGCTTCAGAGATGGAGCGGGAAACCAAGCTGCTAAAAAGGTGCAGAAATGACTCATGGGGATGAGCTTGGGGCCTGGTGGCTCAGACAGTAGAGAATCTGCCTGCGGGTTCGATCCCTGGGTCGGGAAGTTCCCCTGGAGAAAGGCATGGCAACCCACTCCAATACTCTTGCTTGGAGAGTTCCATAGACAGGAGCCTGGCAGGCGACAGTCCGTGGGGTCATGAAGAGTTGGACACAACTGAAGCAGCTAACATGATGACGCCTGGCATAGAGAAGAAGCTCAATAAAAATGAGTTGCAGTGAAAAAAGTGAGGAAATTCATTAATTCCATTATGATTAGAGAAGGAATAAAGTTTGAGGAATGAGGGCTTTTGATTGTGAGTTCAGTCTCCTCTCACTGCCCCATAAGCTTTTCCTCCCCGAACATCCTATTTCTTTAATGACTTTGTATCTTCAACAGCTGCAGGTCTTTCTTCAGCTTCTTCTTGAAATTCCAGAGTCTTCCTCCAGGCCTGAGCAACTCAGTTTTCTTTAGGCGCCTGGAGTGTTAGACCTATGTTCACTGTTCACTCAGTCCTTATTCAGTAATTCCGTTTCCTTCTTTTCTTTCTTCCTCTTTCTTTTTTTACTTACAGCATTAAGACATTGTTAATTGGCCATCTATTGTAAGTCAGGTAAGGAAGAGATATTCTTGATGTTCCCTGTAGGACTGTGTATAAATAAAAGGCAGCCTGGTGGCTCATGTCCCCGGGTGGTGGGTGCCCAAGTGGCCACGATTCGCCCCTCCCTGGACTTACATCATCCTGCATGCTCTCTAACCTCCATCCCCCTCGGAGCCTGGGCTTTGTCACATGACTTGCTCTGGCTGCTGGGAAACCCGCAGAGGCTGAGAAGCACCTGTGCGGTGGGACTGGTTCTCTCTTCGCATTTTCAGAACCTGTGTCTGCTGCCTTGTGAAGAAGCTTCTGGTGAACAGAGACATGGGGCCTGGTTGTTCTGTCATCCTGGTCGGCAGTCTGCCATCAACCAGATGTGGAAGTCGTCCCATGACATTTCAGGGCTGTTTATGACAGTGAAGTCGCTCAGTTGTGTCCGACTCTTTGCGACCCCATGGACTGTAGCCCACCAGGCTCCTCTGTCCATGGGATTTTCCAGGCATGAGTACCGGAGTGGGTTGCCGTTTCCTTCTCCAGAGGATCTTCCCGACCCAGGGATCGAACCCGGGCCTCCTGAATTGCAGGCAGATGCTTTACCCTTTGAGCCACCAGGGACGCCTATTATCCTTGAGAGGCTGTGAAAAGTGAGCTTCTAATGTCTTTCCAACTAAAACTTCATTCTTGCACCAGGATGTGCCATGCTTTTAGTCCCTGAATCATTCTCCAGCTATGGATCTCATTTTATTTTGTTCACACTTCTTTTTAAAATTTTATTTATTTTTTCACTGAAGGATCCTTGTTTTACAGAAGTGTGTTGGTTTCTGCCAAACATCAACATGAATCAGCCATCGGTATACATATGTTCGCTCCCTCTTGAACTTCCTTCCCATCTCCTATCCCTTTCCTACCCATCTAGGTTGTTACAGAGCCCCTGTTTGAGTTTCCTGAGTCATACGGCAAATTCCCATGGGCTATCTATTTTACATATGGTAATATGAGTTTCCATGTTACTCTCTCCATCCATCCCACCCTCTCCTTCCTTCTCCCCTTGTTCACCTTTTAAAAAAATATTTATTTATTTACTTGATTGCACCAGGTCTTAGCTGTGGCATGCAGAATCCAGTACCCTGACCAGGGTTGGAATCCGGGCCCCGTATATTGGGAGTACAGAGTCTTAGCCACTGGACCATCAGGGACGCCCCTTGCTCACATGTTCTTGAAAGCCATTTGCTCTCTTCCAAGCTCTGGCTTGAGCTCAACAATAGCTATTCATTGGCCCCTCATCACAAGATGAAAAGTATGAGCAGTGTCCACCAAATTCCCCAGTCTGCTGGGAGTGGGTGCAGCGGAGGAAGAAGTGTGCATCTCCCGGGCATCCCCAGGGAGCACGGGAGAGCTGCTCCTTCAACCAGGGAGCCTTGAAGACTGGGCTCCACTCTGCCAGCTCAGGGCACCCATCTCCCTCCATCCACGAGGAGCCTTAAAGGGCCAGGGATGGCCGTCCTGCTGCAAGGCCCCAAGGGGCAGCATCTCTGTCCGCCCACTCAGGAGTCTTCCCTGGGTGAGGGCAGGGTCTCAGCTTCTGGGGCACAGAAGACCCAGCTGAGGGGTCTGTGCTTTGTTATAAGAGGGGATGGTTCCAGAGGGTTGGGTCAGAGCCTGCTTTGGGGCTGCTCTGTGATTCAGTGGTCCCTGCATTCGTGGGGTGACTTCTAGGGCTGGGGAGACTGTCAAGAAAATGGATGAGCGATGCAGATACATAAGTAAGGGGTGGTGGTTATAGAGATGCAGTGATAACAGCAGCGGCAATCAGGGCGTCACTGGCCCTGCTAGCAGGGTGATGGCGCTGTAGGGCGGGGTTTGTGCTCGGCCAGCCTGGATGCTGCCTTCTTGCATGGGGCACCCTCTCTCTGGCTCTCCCACCTCCAACCTCAGGCTTCTTCACTCCAGTCATCCTGACAACGCCTTGAACATCCATCGCCCCCTTCTGCCAAATCCAAGTCCCTTCTTCTGTCACAGTCCTTCTGGGCTCTGGGCTCTACCAACAGACCGTTCAGCCCAGATAAAGGCAGCCCGGTTAATCTGTCCACCATAGCGTGTGCTCCAGTCCCAGATGACACGCTCATTATTGCAGACATGTGGCTGGGCTCTTGGAGAAGCTCATGGAACAGCGAGATTTGGGCTGGGGTTTGGTTTGTACCTGGGGGCCCTGGGGAGAGCTTGAACAGAAGGGGTCTCGTTACCTCTTAAGCCATCGTGAGGGTGGTGGCCATTCAGTCTCCCTCTGTGTGTCTGATGCTGACCTCTGAGCTGGGGCAGCAGAAAAGTCACGGGCTTTCGAGTCAGATGAATCTGATTTGGCCCCTTACAAGCTCTGTGACTTCCAGTTTCACTTCCTGCCTCTGGACCTCAGTATTTCTCATCTGAATAGGAAATTATCTCATCTAATAGGAAAAGTAAACCTTTTCCTAGCAAGTGTGGGCTTGCTGTGAGAATTGGAAAGAATAAATGAAAAACAATTACCCAGGGTGGGTCCCCGCTGAAGGCAGTTCTGAGATGAGGGTGTCCTCCTGCCTGAAGCCTTGGGGATACATACTGCCCCCAGACTCAGAGCTCTGGAAAAAGACCCCGTGGGCACCAAGGCTGGTTCCACCACTTATGAGATGTGTGACTTTAAGAAAGCTACTTTTCTGGGCCCCGGTTTCCTTATCTGTAAGGCGACAGTGTCAGTCCTTAAGTCATAGGGATTGAGCAAGGGATCTCGGAGTATGATGGAGCTGGCACTGTGCCAGGCTAGAAGGATGATTCGAGGGGGCAGGGGCTGGGGGAGGACTTCATGGGCTGACGGTTTTGTCTCCTCTCTCAGCTCTGTCTCTCCCCAGTGGCGGAGTCCCTGCTGGGCCAGAGGCACTGGGGAGCAAGCTGTGGGGCCCCGGGGGCTCAGGGTGGAGGTGCCTGCCCCATACTGCAGAGGGCAGGGGTTCTCAGGGTGTGACGGATCACAGCATCTCACCTTAAGAGGCCTGGAGGCTGCAGACAGAACTTTCTGGGAGGGATAGCCTGGGGCTTGGGGTGTGAGAGGTTTGGCATGCAGGTCGAAGGGAAAGAAACTCAACTTTTGTTTAGCTCCTGGGTGTGTTAGAGCATTATTGATATACTGATACATTACCCCCATTAGTCTCTGTGGACATCCAAAGGCATGTTATTATTATTATTTTTTTCTTTTTTGGCGTGTCATGTGGCATGTGGGATCTTAATTTCTGGAGGAGGGATCGAACCCACGCCTCTGCAATAGAAGTGCGGAGTCCTAGCCACTGGGGAAATCTTGGGTATGCTATTATCATGCCGCTTTGCAGACAAGGAGCCCAAGAGTGGTTTCTACCCGCTGAGGCCACATGGAGAGTGGCTGAGGGAGAGGGTCTCAGCCGGGTGTTTTCGGGGCTCCAGAGCTCCTCCTGGGCAGAGGCTGGGCCGCCGCCCCAGTGGCTTCGGCATGATCCACGGATCCTCCAGTTACCAGGGAGGCCAAGGCGAGCCGTGTGACACGGGGTAGGCCGGATCCTTGGGGTGTGGCTCTGCGAATCGGTCAATCAACAGACACAGGCAACTCCAGCTTCGAACGGGGCTCGGGGGCCTCGGGGCAGCGGGGGAAGGAGACCTGCTGAGCTTGCCGACTTGGACCCGAGTCACCACCTTGGCGTTCGCTGAAACCGCCTCTGAAACTCCGGATGGTAAGGCATCACAAACCCTCCCTTTTTCTCTTCTCCTGGAACTGTTCCTGACCGCAATTTCTACTGTCCGTTTGTTTTGTTGGGTTGTTTCTCTTTCTCCTGCAGAAAGGATACTCAGATCGAAAAGACAAGTCAAACAACAGCCTCGGTGGGATGAGGATTGCGGCTGATGGAGTTCCGGCTAACTGAAGCATCCTGCGGAAGGCGGCTTTTGTCCCTGTCGCTCAGCACTGGTTTAGTGTGTATCTGCCATCGCCACTGACAACCAGCGAGTCCTGTGTGTGGTCACGTTACCTTCCCGGGGGAGTCCGGGCCAGGGGATAAAGGGGCCCAGCGGGTGGGTCTGTCCCTCCCTGATCTCCTGTGGGGTCAGTAGCCCTTGGAAAGGAGGCGGACCTCATGGGGTCGGGCCATCCCTGCTCTGCCTCGGCACGTTTTCTGCGCAGGGATCCCAGGTCTGTGTGATGGATGCGGCTGAAACCGGTAGCAGGTGCGGGGAGGGGCGGGAAGGAGCCGTTGAGAGGAGGGCTGCAGGTCTGGCATCTTCAGTGGGCCAGGCCTCTCTGGTTAGGAGGCTGGCGGTCCCCAGGGCAAAGGGCCTTTTGTTTATCGTTCATTCCCGTGTCTTCCTTCCTCCTTTCTCCTTCCCCCCTTTTCCATCCATCCATCCAAGACACTGTGTAAGAGATGTGGGATGACATATACAAGACGAGGTCCCTGCCCTTGAAGAGCCTCCAATCTAGGAAGATGGGTGAGATCAAGACACACGTAAAGCACAGCGGGAAAACAGCAGGGCTCTAGACCAGAGCGTAATCGCGAGCTTTCAGGGGAGAGGTCTTGCTGAGGGGATCAGGAAGACAGGTGAGTGAGCTGAGCCCGGAAGGGTAGGTGATGCGGTTTCAACTGATGGAGGGGACAGGATCAGCCTGTCCGGGAACAGAAAGAGCAAAGGTCAAGGTTGGAGGGTGGGAAGCCTTTGGTTGTCGAGGGAAAGGGGAGCTGTTTGGTTTGGCCGTGGAGGAGGAGGAGCGAAGATAAAGATGGGGACAGTTTGGAGCCAAGTTGCAGAGGGCCCTGACATTAGGCTTTGCTGGGAAGGGCAGTCAGGATCCACACAGGGTTTCTGGCTGGGGGGTGCCTGTCCTGAGCGGTGTTGACACACAGCTGGTGGGGAGGGACCACAACACCAGGAAGGGCTTTCCGTGGCTCTTCTTGGATGCCCAGGGGGTGAGTCCACAGCCACTGTGGCTCCCTGACCCGGAGGTGCCTGCCATGACTTGCCCGGTCATTCCTGTCCCGTCCCAGCACTGCGAGCCACTCCCATTGAGGTGAGGATCCACAGAGTAAGCCCTGGCAGACATCACTGGATGACTAAGTGATGGGTCACCCTTATGGAAGAAAAACATTGACCAGAAGAACCTGTCCAAGGGAGGCAGAGTTTGAGACAATTAAACTTTGTCAGAGACAGAGAGGCATCGCTTGTTAGATGTACATGTCCCAGACATGACTGGAGAAGGCAATGGCACCCCACTCCAGTACTCTTGACTGGGAAACCCCATGGACAGAGGAGCCTGGTGGGCTGCAGCCCATGGGGTCGCTCAGAGTCGGACATGACTGAGCGACTTCACTTTCATATTTCACTTCCATGCATTGGAGAAGGAAATGGCAACCCACTCCAGTGTTCTTGCCTGGAGAATCCCAGGGATGGGGGAACCTGGTGGGCTGACATCTGTGGGGTTGCACAGAGTTGGACACGACTGACGCAACTTAGCAGCAGCAGCAGCAGTAGCCGTAGCCATGACAGTCTTTTTTTTTTTTAATGCATTTTATCAAAGTATAGTTGATTTATGTTGTGTTAATTTCTATTGTACAGCTAAATAATTCAGTTATATATATTTATATATAAACATGCACACATTCAGTTATATATGTATACTTATATACATATAAGTACAATAACTATGGTTATTCCGTCATCACGTATGGATGTGAGAATTGGACCATAAAGAAGGCTGAGTGTTGAAGAACTGATGCTTTGGAATCGTGATACTGGAGATTCTTGAGAGTTCCTTGGACAGCAAGGAGATCAAACCAGTCAATCCTAAAGTAAATCAACCCTGCATATTCACTGGAAGGACTGATACTGAAGCTAAAACTCCAATACTTTGGCCACCTGATGCAAAGAATTGACTCATTGGAAATGACCCTGATGCTGGGAAAGATTGAAGGCAAGAGGAGAAGGGGACAACAGAGAATGTGCTGGTTGGATGGCATCACCGACTCAATGGACGTGAGTTTGAGCAAACTGCAGGAGATAGTGAAGAACAGGGAAGCCTGGTGTGCTAGTGTGCATGGGAGTGCAGAGCTGGACACGACTGAGTGACTGAACAACAATATATATACATACACACACACACACACACACACACACACACAGAGTCTTTTTCATGTTCCTTTCCATTCTGGTTTATTGCAGGATGTTGACTATAGTTCCCTGTGCTATAGAGTAGGGCCTTGCTGTTTATCCATTCTCCATTTGATAGTTTGCATCCGCTAACCCCAAACTTCCACTCCATCCTTCCCCCACACTTCCTTGGCAACCACAAGTCATGACTGTCCTTTTGCATGAGAGGTGAGCTTAGTTCTTAGAATACTTTAAAGAGTGTGAAAAGGTATTTTGTCCACAATCATTATCTCTCTCCCACCACTGCCCTAGGCCTCGGGCGCCTGTAGGCCTTCTGGTTTAAGGACTACACGGCCCCCAGCGAATAAACACCTACTTGGGAAGGGGAACCCACGGAACTCTCGGACCCTGACACCTCAGGATAAATGGATTCCTCAGGTCAGCAAATCTGTATGCTGCCAGCTTCCAAGGACCAGCACCCAGGACTGGATGGATGCAGAGTATTTTTAACAAACACTGAACAAACATCTACTTGTTATGTGTGCCAGCGTCTACACCGGAGCTGGGACTGGGGAAATAAAGATGAATACATCTCAGTCGCTTGCAGTAGCTGTTCAGAGGGTCCTGCAATCCAGTAAAGAAGAAGCATCGCTAACGTTCTGCAGGGGATGAGGACTGTTGACAGGAGCTGTTAGCTTCTCCATGCGTTACCTCCTCTAAATGCAATATGCACCCTTGTAAGAAGATACTAGGATCATTACTATTTAGGCTGAGGAAACATGCTCAAAAGCAGGTATACATCGTGTTAAAATCAAATGAGGGAGAGCTGGGGGGTGGACAGTGGTTGGTGAGTGAGCGGGTGCAGACTTAGCCAGACTCCACCATCCTCGCTGAGTCTGCGGGGCTAAGAGGTAGGAAGGCTGTTCTAAAACCCCATCTCCACAGTGAGGTCAGGAGGAGAGAAGCCAGCCAGACCCTGGGGCAGGAGAACAGAGCAGGGGGAAGGCAGGGCAGACCCTGAGGGTGGGCCGAGGGCTGGTGGCAGCATGGTGCTTGGTGCATGGGAAGCCCTAGATCAAGGCTAGAGGAATTTGCTCTATTTCTGGGGGCAGGATCAAAAGGAGGAAGGTGGAGGCCTGCCACCCCACTGTGGGGTTGACTCAAGGGGCCAGAACCCAGGTCTTCTTCTCATGGGACCTGCCAGCCTGCAGATTTATGAGAGAATCAGTGTAATCCTTCACTAAGAGGCCATGGTAAACTTGGATGCAACCCTGAAACTACGTGGAGAATAAAAGCTTTGCCTGGTGGATCCTGCGAGGATGTGCGTGTATGCATGTGTGTGTGAGTGTGTGTGTGTGTGTGTGTGTGCGCACTCAGCCAAGCTCCCTCAGTCCCAAGCACACATGCGGGCTCCCTTTTCTTGGAGGAGGTCAGTGACAGCCCAGCCTCCCATTCACAGGTTGGAAAAAGAGCATTAATCTTCTTGACGTGGCAGGGGTGGGGGTGGGGGTTTGGGGGCCGGAATCCCTCAAACTGGGGCATCCCTGGGAGCAGAGAGATCCTTGTCTTCTTCGACTGTGTGAACAAGCTTTGGTTCATAAGCTCAGGACATAAAGTCGGGGTGGGGGGCTTGAAGAAAATCAAGTAGCATTCCAGAAAACAAATACCATCTCCCATCTTTCTCCTTACTGCCTTTTTTAGAGGGATAAATAAGGGCAGACAGGGTTTCCCTGGTGGCTCAGAGGGTAAAGAATCTGGATGCAAAGCAAGAGACCCGGGTTTGATCCCTGGATAGAGAAGACCCCTCGGAGAAGGAAATGTCAACCCGCTCCAGGAATTGCCTGGAAAATCCCCATGGACACAAGAGCCTGGTGGGCTACAGTCCGTGGGGGTCGCAAAGAGTCAGGCACGACTGAGTGGCTAACACTGTCACTTTCACTTCAAGGGCAGAGAGGGAGCGAGCTCAGCGCTCTTGGAGGAATTCTGCAGTGTTTTCTGAGAACAGACACCCGTGTCAGCAGGAGGGGCAGAAAAGGCAGGCCTGACGCGGTCTGAACTTGCGGGCGGAGCATAATTCATACGGCCAACGGCTTGTGCAAACTGCTGGCAAGCTGGCGAGGCCTCACCTTTCTCGAATGGGGCCCTTTACCTGGACATCCCTACCTCCCCGAATCCTGGGTTCTGCAGCCAGAGCGGGGACTCGGTCCGTCCACGTGGGATGAGAGCGGCAGGATGGGGAGTGAGGCAGGATGGGGAGTGAGGCGCGGGGCGGGTGGTCACGCACCCGCATCCGTCGGGTGCAGGACCCTGTGCCCGCACCCTCCTGACTCAGGCCTGGGGGCTTCTTTTCCCACCTCACCCTCACTCCACGTCCAGTCTTCCCTCCCGTGGACCACCCAGCGCCCTCCCCCTCAAGCCCCGACTTGACCCAACATAGATTCTGCCTCTTTCTCAGCCCCACACCGTGAAATACGGGCTGGGCCCTCATTGTTTCACTGGGGGCTTTGCCCCCTGGTGGGGACGTTGGAACTGTCCTACTCCATCTCTCCAGGGAAATGTCACTTTTCCCAGGCTTTCAGATCAAATCCTCCTGCTTGGTTCTTTTCCCCACAGCACTTCCCGCTTTCTTAACGTCCTGCTTCCTGGCGTGTTTGTACCTTCCCAGTCTCTCTCCACTGGAAAGTCGGGCGAGAAGGCAGCTGGTCGCTTTGCTCCCTACTGCGGCCCCAGTGCCTTGATCGACGCCTGTCTGCCACGGGGACTAGAGATGCTCGGGCCGGAGCAGTGAGGAGAACGGAGCCTGGAGCCAGCCGTGCAGACCTAGGACTTGGCTTGTTCTCTCCTCCACGCCCTGGGTGATTCCGGGCGGGTCCAACAGCCTCCCTGGGGCGGGATGACGGCAGCCCGTCCTCCCATGACGCCAGAGCCCTGGAGTGGGGCACGTTAGGGACTCTCAGGCTTGGCCGGCCAACCTGCCTTGGCAGCCGGTGCTCCGCACGCAGGGGCGGTGCTCGGGTGCGCCCGGGGCTGCAGAGTTCTTTATGGAACCACCGGAGCAGGCTTCGTTAGTGAGGAGAGGAACGAGAAACAAAGAACGACCTTCCCAATTATTAATAAGGCAGCAACCCCATCCATCTTAATGAGACAGGGCGGAAAAACCCAGCGGCCCGGCAGCGGGTACACAATGGGATACAATAGAGACCTTGCTCTCCTTTTAAAAAGGAGGAAAGAAAGAGAGACAGACAGAAGGGGGAAAGCAGCAGAGATTGGAAAGCCAGTTCAAACATCCACCTCCGTGGCCCTCGTAGAAGGTGTCCCCCATGGGCTTCAGCCACAGATGTTGGAAAAGTGCCAAGGGTGCGGTGGTCCTTGGCTGGGCAGGATGCTTCTTTGGCAGGGGGAGGGGATGGAGTGGTACCCAGCCAAGCGAGAAGCTTCGATTCCTGGGTGCGGGATCTAGCAGCACAGGACTTGGTACCTGAAAAGGGATTTCAAAAAGTTTTGTTAACCTTTTCAGTTAGTAGCTCTCCCCGCAACCCCCACCCTGCCACCACCATGTGGTGTAACAGACTTTCTGAGTCCTGGATCTGGGTCCTTCTACTGGTCCACTGAGTGACTTTGGGCAAAGCGTTTAACATCTCAGCCTCCGTGTCTTCAGAATTAATTCACCTCTCAGATTTGCTGAGGTCCTACTACGGCCATCAATGTATCAGTGATCCTCTAAGCATCTGATACAAAGGAGGTATTCAGCAAACGGTCCTTGAAACAGAGTCTGAATCCCATCTCAGCTGGTGGAAGGTAAACAAGGGCTCCAGGCTGCAGCTGGGCTACCTTGACAGTGGGTCTGCCTCACGTCTGCCCTGATCGCCATCCCCTGGACCGCCTGAGGGCCAAGCACGGAGTAGCTGAATGGATGACGGAAAGGCCAGGACTCTAATAAAGACCTCAAGACAAGATGCTGATCAAGCATTGGTCCTGCCCTGAAAGGTGGGGAATGGCCCCTCCTTCTGGAGGCAGTTCCCTGAAACATGGAAGCCCCATCAGCCCTAAGGGTCCTTCCCCCCACCCCCTACAGCAGGTCTTCCAGGCTGCGAAGTCCAGCTGGGAGCACCAGCCGTGCTCCTCTCCTTTCGGTTGCAATTCTCCGTCTGCAGGAGATGGTGGAAGGACAGAGGGAAGCTGCACACCCGGGCATCAGAACCCCGGCAAGTGGGCGGCACAGACAGGGCGTGGTCTGGAGCCCAAAGCTCCAGCGGGGTGACCAGTGTTCAGACACACTGGTCTCACCTCCAGCGGGGTGACCGGCCCTCGGACACGCTGGTCTCATCTCCAGCGGGGTGACCAGCCCTTGGACGAGCCGGTCTCATCTCCAGTGGGGTAACTGGCGCTCAGACGAGCTGGTCTCATCTCCAGTGGGGTGACCAGCCCTCGGGCGAGCCCATCTCTTCCCCAGCAGGATGACCAGCTCTCAGACAAGCTGGCCATGTCCACCTAGGTCCAGGTGTTCTGGGTGGGCCGTGGAAGATATCTCGATGTGGGGGAAGGGGAGGGAAGAGGGGCAGTTAGGGCGGTGGGGGACACGCTGCAGGGTGCCCCAGGGGTGTGCCCTCCCAGGGGCCTGGAGGCGGGGCAGGATGTCTCTGAGGTGGGCGCCCTGCTTTCAGGCGCTGCCGCCCTCCAGAGGAGGCAGGGCTGGATCCCAATTAGAGCCAAGGTTGCCTGCCAGTGAGGGCTGCATGCTGCCAGCACCCTCATTAGCTTGGCAGGAAATCCCTGCTGCCTCGCTGGGTCCCGCCACAGGCCCAGACACGCTCCCGGGGGTCCCAGCCCCTGGCTCTCCGCCTCCCCACTCTTGTCGGGTGACACCCCGCCGGTCCAGCCTTTCCTGAGAGCAGACATGCCCAGGGCCCTCCTTGCAGTGCACCGGGGCAGGGTTCTCACCGGCCTCCCCATCCTGGGACACAGTCCAGTCCAAGCAGGAGAGGTGTGTTTCGTGCGGCAAGTTATTACAGGACGAATTCCTGCCGCTGAGAAAGGACGGCCGCCAAGCTCTCTCCTGATCTGATAGACATATGACCTTCCACGGCTCCCCTCTCGGCCCCTTCCCATGGCAGGGTCATTCAGCGATGCCCAGGAGGATGGAAGGGACCCAGGCAAGTTTGCTGGGAGGCAGCTCAGACGCATCACCAGGGACCACTGCACCCCCGCCCCCCTCCCCTTGCTCAGAGTTGGAGCAGGTGGACCAAGCTCAGTGTCTCTTCCTTAAGGGAGGCAGGATGCAACAGACAGATGACCAGACTGGACCTAGGGTGTCCCAGGAGGGCAGGCAGCCCAAGGAGAGCAGATGGGGGTGGTGAGAGCTCTCAGGGGACAGTGAGGAGGCCACATGCCCAAGAGTGAGCAACGAGGCACAGCAAGATCCTTGCACATAGTAGGAGCTCATTAAATGCCTGTTGATGGATTGATGGCGAGAGAGTTCTCACTCCAGACTTCTCTTCTGTGTGGTCTGGAAATGCAGATGTGATTCTATCGGCAGCGTGAACTGGACAATGAGGGCAATTATCCAGAAAATGTGAGCCATCACTCACTCCCTCCCACACGAAGGCTTTGCAACAATTACCTGATGCTGCAAATGAGGCAGAATTTTTAAGAACCTATGTCATTGGGGCTGATATTAGAGACTTACCGTGCTCCCTTTGCTGAGAAAAATGGTTATGTTGTTCTGTTTACCCAACCTCTTTTCTTTAACAGTAATATTTATTCTCTTACCCTTCCCCCCTACTCCCTGCCAAAGTGACGTATGGTCATTGTAGACATTTTAGAAAATGAAAAAAAAAAAAGCCAAAAGAATAAAGTTTAAACCGCCTTTGATTCCAAAAACCAGAGGCTGTGAACATTTTAGTGTTCCTATTTTCAAGTATTTAGTTATCTTTTCCCTGCTTTCCTTCCTTCCTTCTTTCTCTCCTTTCGTTTTTGTTTTACTTATTTTTAACTTTGTAAGAAATGTTTTATTTTGCTTATTTTTTTGCCGACGTGGCATGCGGGTTCAGTTCCGTAACCAGGAATCCAACCTGGGCCCCTTGCACTGGAAGCACGGAGTCTTAACCACTGGACCACCGGACCCGTCCCCCTCCTTTCTTTTTTTAAATTGAAGGATGCATGTGTGCATGCTAAATCGCTTCTGTCATGTCTGACTCTCTGCAACCCTGTGGACTGTAGCCCACTAGGCTTCTCGGTCCATGGGATTATCCAGGCAAGGAGTGGGTTGCCATGCCCTCCTCCAGGGGATTCAGACCCAGGGATCAAACCCGTGTCTCTTATGTCTCCTGCACTGGCAGGTGGGTTCTTTACCACTATTGCTACTGCTACCTGGGAAGCCCAAATTGAAGTATAGTTGATTTACAATATTATGTTAGTTTCAGATGTAGAGCAAGTGATTCATTTTTCTTCATATTATAATCCGTTATAGGTTATTACGAGATACTGGGTATAATATCCTATGCTCTACAGTAAATCTTTGCTGCTTATCTATTTTATGAACAGTACTTTGTATCACTCCCTTCTTTCTCTTCCTTCTATTCTTTCTGCAAAATTTGCATCATACTACATATATATTTGTGTCCTATATTCTCCACATTCATTCATCATTAGTTCATTTGTTCATTCAGCAAGTGTTTCTGTATTGAGTGCTTTCTAGGCACCACGGCACAGTTCTATGGGATGCAGTTTTGAATAAAACTGATATAAATCTCTGCCTTTGAGATGCGGTGGTGGAGGTATAAAGGGAGACAGACAATAAAATAAATGAGAAAAATATGTGGGTGTTAGAAGATCATAAGAGGTGGGTAGGAAAATCAAACAGGAAAAAAGAAAAACAAAAAAGCAGGCCAAGGGGTTGGTTGTGGTAGAAAGGCCAGGTACATTTTGAAATAGGAAAGACCTCCCCAAGCAGGTGAGTCACTGGCAGGAGAGCATTCCTTCCTGAGATGCCTCGTGTTCAACACCTGAGATCTGGGTGCTTGGAAGGACTTTCTCAGGTGCACAAAAAATCTAGGCAGAATTCTTGTGTTTGCCATATTGATAATGCAGTAGTGAAGAAGAAAAATGCAAAGAGAAGAGCTAAAAGCTGTCTCTCTCCAAGGGGGATCAGAGCATGTCCCTGGCAGAGAAGAGAACCAGCTGGGAGAAGGCCAGGTCCGTGGGGACGATGTTGTAGCACCTGCTTCTCTGCCAGTGGGGGGTTCTCTCCTCTCTCCAGCTTGACACAGTCGTTAAGAAATCACATCCAAACAGCCAGATTGTTGGTGATGGCTTTGCTTGTTTCACACTGGTCTTTGCCAAAGGTTATAATCATCACTAACATTTGCACTGGGCTTTTGAGTTTCCTGGTGTTTGGGGAGTTTCTGATGCAGTATGAGATGTAAAGGAAAGGAGCTGTGGCCAGAGTATTCTTTCTACATAAAATGTCAAGGTTTGAAAGCCTTGAGCTTAAGTAGGCTGTGTGTGTGTGCACGTGTGTGTGTGGGTGTGGAAGTTAATTGCTCAGTTGTGTCCAACTCTTTGCAACCCTGTGGACTGTAGCCTGCCAGGCTCCTCTGTCCATGGAATTCTCCAGGCAAGAATACTGGAGTGGGTTGCTGACTTCCTCCCAAATTAAGGCCCTGAGGCTCAGAGAGGCCAAGAAATAGGTCCCCTGGTTTGCTCAGGCGGGGAAACCAGACTCTTCCCATCACAGAGCTGATGGCTGATGTTATTACAGCACTGTTTCCTCCCAGAAGCCGAGC